CTTCTATTTCACCTTGCTTACAAGTAGAACCAGAAAAGACTTGCTCACCCTTCTTCTTGGTCACAGGTAGTGATTCACCGGTCAGCACTGACTGCAGGAATAAATGTTTAACTAGAAAAAGTCTTTACATAGTACACTAAAAGAAAAGAGATGCAAATAAGTGCTAGATATTCTGGACGTACCTGATCAATCTTCAAGGGGTCTCCTTCAAGAAGGCGAGCATCTGCAGGAATGATATCCCCAAGCTTTATGCTAATTATATCACCAGGTACCAAGATAGAAGCATCTTGCTCTTGCCACTGTCCATCTCTAAGAACCTATAAGAGTGGATCTAAATCAAATTTAAGGTAATATGGAAACGATAGTGCAGCTAGATTTGCCGTTTCGGCTCATTGGAAGGTTAAGAGCCATACTCTTGTTTTTAAAGCCAAACGAGCCATAAGAGCTGCAGCAGCATTGCCAGCATTGTTTTCTTCAAAGAAGCTGATTGTTGCGTTGATAAGTAAAAGGCAAACGATTCCAACAAAGTCTTCCCAGTCAGGACCCATGCTCTGTAATACCATTTTCACCATGAGTTTCAAGTTGTATCTTCACACAGTAAAGAAGAGAAACAATTTCATAACCCATGACAGCGGATTATCTTACTTTACTATTAGCGAGGGCAATGGCCATCAATGCCGCAGCTTCCATAACCCATGACAACGGATTCCACATAAAACCTAGGAATTTCAGGAATTTGTTCTCCTGTATCATTTTTTTTAAATGGTATTAGCACAACATTATGGAGACACTTGGCAGGAACACAATGAAGACACTTTGAAGATGTTGTGTTTATTTACCCGTTTCTCTTCAAGTCTGTTAGGACCAAATATCTTCAATCTTTCTTGAGCATCTCCAGATAAAAGCCCCCGAGGCGATGTTCTAAGGTATTCAAAAACCTCCTCCAGTGGCAATATACCCTGTCAATCTCAAGAGTCAAAACCATTCCTTGGCACAAAAAGTATAACAAGAATTTTGAGTAAAAATGAATAATAATTTATATACCAAGTCAATTCCTTTTCTATCGAAAGTATCAGGATCCAGCAATGGTTCGTCTAAATCCTCTGCCATGCTTAAAACCACCGTACAGCTTCAAAATCCCAGAAATTTATTCGATGAACATAAGATTCAAAGTAATAGCAAACCATCAAAAACATGGTGTGAGCTACAAACGAACTCAACCACTAGGTTGCGACCAATGGTCCATCATTGTGATCGAAGGACTCACCAGGATCCTATATGATGGCACGAACGAAGCTGCTAATCTCGTCGGCTGGGAGGAGAAGAATAATCCAGGAACAGAAGCGAAAACAGGAATCTTTAAAAAGGGTCCACGAATAATGAAATTGAAACCACCATTCCATGGCTGGCCAGTTGAAGAGTAGATTCTCCTGCAAGTCGCAATTGGTACCGCCATTAACGGAACAGTAGATGCGAAAGACGAAGAAGAAGCAGTGAGTGAAGTGTTGTTGAGCTCACTTCTCCACCTAACGGTCACTCCCTCTCTAACCCGTCCCATTATATTTACTCAATAATTAAAAATCTAAAACGATAACTCTCAGTTTTGTTGTTTAATTTAAAACTAATTTTCAGTTTAACGTATTTACTTTTTTATTTTTTTTCCATTTGATATCTTTTAAATTTTGAATATAAAGTCATACAATTTTCCCATTACTAGATGATTTTGTTTTTGTTTAGTGAGATTATCTTTTTATCATCATAAAGACATAAACATATGATATGATATAAGATCTCTCTACAATCTACATTGTTATATTGTTAGAAAATTCATAGATTTAAGTGGCCACTGGGTTCGAGTCAACTTAGAAAACAAATCCTGCCATAAACAAAACACAGAGAACATAAAATTAACAATGTTATAACAAACTAATCAAAGGGCTTAAGAAACAAAATAGAAATGAAGCTACTGACTGATTAATTTGCCTTGGTCAACGATGGTATTGACAAGATCACACAAGAAGTTTTCTCTGGGGCTGACTATTTCCCTTGGTCACCTCTGTATCGACAAGAAGTTTTCTATTTCTCTTCTTCTTCTCTGTATTGTTCTTCTCCTCGCTATGATAGATAAGGAAATGAGACCCAAAGCCAAAGGTCTTGTGAGACCATTAATCACAAAACCTGTACAGCCTCTGAGTTCTCACATGCATCTCTTCCTCCTCTGTCTTCTTTTCCTATCTGCCCTCTTTCTTACACTTTCAGAAGCTGTCTGTAACCTACAAGACCGAGAATCTCTCATGTCGTTTTCCGGCAATGTTTCTTCTTCTGTTTCTCCTTTGAATTGGAATTTGTCCATTGATTGTTGTTCCTGGGAGGGAATTACCTGCGATGATTCATCCGATAGTCACGTCACTATGATTTCCTTGCCCTTTAGAGGACTCTCTGGCACTCTCGCTTCGTCTGTTCAGAACATTCACCGTCTCTCTCATCTCGATCTTTCTCATAACCGTCTCTCGGGTCCTCTCCCACCAGGTTTTTTCTCGACCCTTGATCAGCTCATGGTTCTTAATCTTAGTTACAATAGCTTCAATGGTGAGCTGCCACTTGAACAAGCATTTGGAGATGGAAGTAACAGATTCTTCCCAGTCCATACCATTGATCTGTCAAGCAATCTCCTCCAAGGAGAAATCCTCAGTAATTCTATCGCTATCCAGGGAGCTATCAATTTAATCAGTTTCAACGTTAGTAACAACAGCTTCACAGGTCCAATCCCTTCATTCATGTGCAGGAGTTCACCACAGCTCAGCAAACTGGATTTCTCTTATAATGATTTTAGCGGCCATATCTCTCAAGAATTAGGCAGATGTTTGAGGCTAAGTGTTCTACAAGCAGGCTTCAACAATCTCTCTGGTAATATACCAAGTGAAATCTACAATCTTTCTGAGCTCGAGAAACTCTTTCTGCCAGCCAATCAGCTTACCGGAAAGATCGATAATAACATCACCCAGCTCAGGAAACTAACGTCGCTTGAACTTTACTCCAACCACCTTGAAGGAGAAATACCAATGGACATAGGTAACCTCTCCAGCCTGCGTAGCCTTCAACTCCATATCAATAAAATCAATGGTACAGTCCCGCATTCTCTTGCAAATTGTACTAACCTCGTCAAGTTGAATTTGAGGGTCAATCGGCTGGGAGGAAGCTTAACAGAGCTCGATTTTTCCCAGTTGCAGAGTCTTAGGGTTCTCGATCTCGGAAACAATAGCTTCACCGGTGAACTCCCTGATAAGATTTTCTCCTGCAAATCGCTCATTGCAATCAGATTTGCAGGCAACAAGTTAACGGGACAGATGTCTCCTCAAGTATTGGAACTTGAGTCCCTGTCGTATATGTCTTTTTCAGACAATAAACTGACGAACATTACAGGAGCTCTCAGCATTCTACAGGGATGCAGGGAGCTGTCCACTCTAATCATGGCAAAGAATTTCTATGATGAAACAGTTCCAAGCAAAGAAGACTTTCTTGCCCCAGATGGATTCCCCAAACTCCGAATATTTGGCGTAGGTGCATGTAGATTGAAAGGTGAAATACCAGCTTGGCTGATTAATCTCAAGAAGGTAGAAGCTATGGATCTGTCAATGAACCGATTTGTGGGGTCAATTCCCGGTTGGTTAGGAACTCTTCCAGACCTTTTCTACTTGGATCTTTCAGATAACCTACTTACAGGAGAGCTGCCAAAGGAGATCTTCCAACTAAGGGCTCTGATGTCCCAAAAGACCTACGACGCAACAGAAGAGAACTATCTAGAGCTGCCTGTTTTTCTCAATCCCACTAATGTTACCACCAATCAGCAATACAATCAACTGTACAGCCTCCCACCTACGATTTACATCAGAAGGAATTACTTGACAGGGAGTATACCAGTCGAGGTTGGCCAGTTAAAGGTTCTTCATATCCTGGATCTTCATAGTAACAATTTATCTGGCAGCATCCCATATGAACTGTCAAACCTCACCAACATAGAGAGGCTGGACCTGTCCAACAACTATTTATCCGGTAGAATCCCTTGGTCGTTAACAAGCCTAAGTTTCATGTCTTATTTCAACGTGGCGAACAACAGTCTGGAAGGGCCAATTCCCAGAGGAGGTCAGTTTGATACATTTCCAAAAGCATATTTTGAAGGAAACCCCTTGTTGTGCGGTGGTGTACTGCTGACTTCCTGCACACCTGCTACAACCACGGGAAACGATGAGTTAAAGAGAACATTTCTTGTGGGGATTGCCATTGGATACTTTATTAGCTTTATTTCTATCTTAGTGGTGCGTCCCCGGTGGGTGTAATGTAGTAAATCATATGTTTTATCTGGGAAACTAGCACTCTATTGTCAAAAAAATTTCAAAAGAAAAACAGCCTCTGTTGTTTGGTAGTAACAAATTTCTCTCAAAACAGTCGATTTGATCATGGACACTAATTGGGGATAGTGCAGCACTTGGATTCTAGAGCCACGACAACAACTTCTTCCAGAGTGCAAATTAAGGAAAGATACGATAAAAGACCAAAACGATTTGAACAGATTAACTGAAAAAAGAAAATAGCTTAGAGAAAAACCTGGAGGCATATCGTATCTGGAAATGAGAAATTGAATTTGGGGCTTTCACCAATCAGTAATCGTATTCCCAGAGGAAGAACAAGGCTAATGCAGCTTCATACTACTGCGATTGTTTGCTCATATATTTACAGTTTGAGACCTCAATTTCTTTATCTTTGCAAATAATTGGATTAATATCTTATGTTACGAATTTGGGTCCAACCCAAGAAAATGAACATTGCTTAGCGTTAGACCATCAGCTGTGGCTAATGTGTTTGTGTGGCTGTAAGTATTTTTTTAATATTATAATTTAAAGCAAAAGAGAAAAGAGAAAGAGAGATTGAGAGAAAAAGTGTTATAACCGAGTGTAAACTTACACCTGGGTGTGAAGAGAGAGACAATTTTTTCGTTTTTTTAATACCTATAGGTCCTATACCCCAAGAATCACACCCACTGCTTGCCCCACTGCCCATGCTCTTATAGTTACACAAGATTACACCCTCTTATTACATCATTACTACATTATTACAAGCACTAACCACCAATTGAACAGAACATTAAAAGAAAAATAGAGACATAAAAATCCGGACTGGCCGGAAAAATGTAAGAACTGACGCCGTGAAATCCCTCTCCGGCGGAACATTGATAAAGATACCCTTAATCAGTCGCTGTAGCTAAAAACCCAAATCCGTTAAGAGAGGAGAGAGGCCTAAAGGCCCAAAAGAGACCCGATCCACTAGACGAATCAGAGATGGACGAAAAACATTATTAGTTAACATAATTTTAAGTTTAATCTTCTGGTAACTCTACTTATTAGCAATCGTCGTGATCGATGTAAGAGCGGAGGAGCATTGTGGCGCAGAGTCGAATTATACAGAGACGAGCATGTTGTCGTTTCATCAGAGAAGAGCATTTCGAAGTGAAGCTGTTCCTGATTTTGGAATTAGAGTTCTTCTCTGCCAAAAATCCACCCATGTTGGGTTTAACTGGTTTCGAATCCAATGAAGACCTCTTCTATTTATATGCATTGGCTTCTCAGAGACCAATTTAATAAATATCGGTTTCTTTTTTTTTCATTGGGGTTTGAAGGAAGCCTGAACTTGGTCCTGTTTTAGCTCAATTTGAAGATTTTGCGCGTGAGGTAATCTCGCCGTACAACTATGGAGTATTAAACACATTTTCTCATTTTTATTCTATCGATACAGAAGATTTTGTTTGAGCAAAAAATCAACACTTAACTTTGGTTTCACGTTTTGTCCTTTTCCTCGTTTTTTGTGTTCTTCTATTTTGTTGGAGAAGTAAGCTTGTTTATGATTCAATGTATGTCAACGAGTTATCTAGAGCAAAGAAGTTTCTAGGAAGATACGTTTATGGATTTCCTCTAAATCCCCATTGATTGTTTCATAAGATTTTATTTCAAGAGAGAAAGATTTTAGCTGCTTTCTACTTCCTGGACTCTATTCTGTTCTTTTGCAAAATAGTTAAAACTGTGCTTTACATGTTCTGCAATGTTTCTGAACAATGTGTTGGTTTATGTAATAACTGCAGATATCATTAGAGACTCAGATTCAACATTTCTATTTTCCACTGTATGGACTGAACTGGATTTATTTGCTGACTTCAAGGTGATGCAACAAAGTCAATTTCTGCAGAATAGCAAGAAATGAGAATCAGAAAAAGTTCGGAAATTTCAGACAAGTGTGTGTGCGTGTGTGGATTCATACCTTTGGAGGAGTTTGCTTCTTCTAGAGGAGTTTCTGATGTAATGGATGAGGTAGAGAGGCTGCTTGATCCCCGAGCTTCTGTAATCATAGCGACCACTTCTCTCATTGTTGGTCTACTAGCTGGAGAATTGCTGGTGCAGAACAGTGCAATCTTTAGGACTAGAGACATCTCATGAATTGTTCTCTTATCATTCGTATCTAGCCTCGCATCAAACATTTCAATGGTTGGAACCATGTTACGGATTGATCTTCTAACCCAATTGACTAGATCCCCTCCTTGCTCCAGCGGTTGAACTGGGGGCTTTCCTGTTATTAGCTCCAGAAGCACAACTCCAAAGCTATAGATATCGCATTTCTCTGTCACCTTCATCGTGTAAGCATATTCTGAAACCCAACAAAACACCAATCAGATATGTCAGATAAGCGAGTCTGGGAGAAAGAAACCTGTGATGTTTTACTCACCTGGAGCGATGTATCCGTAAGACCCAGCAACAGCTGACATGGACTTTGAGTAAGAGAGATCAATCAACTTAGCTAGGCCAAAATCTCCAACATGAGCCTGGAACAGTTCATCAAGAAGAATGTTGTTCGATTTTATGTCGCGATGAACTATTTGAGGCCTGCAATCATGATGGAGATAACACAGACCCTCTGCAGCACCGAGGGCGATTTTGTACCGAGCATTCCAATCCAACAAGCAGTTTTTCTCACCTCGCTGTAGTTGTTCACCGAGGCTTCCTTTTGACATGTACTCATACAAGAGAAGATTTGAGTTCTGGTGATAGCAGAAACCATATAGCTTCACAATATTCCGGTGCCTTATCTTTCCAAGTGTTGATATTTCAGCTCTGAAGCTATTATCAGAACTCGCTCCTTCGCCGCGAGAATTTAGCTTCTTTACAGCTATCACCTCGCCATCTGACATTTCAGCTTTGTAGACCGTTCCACACGCTCCTCTCCCTAAAAGCACGTCTTCGGAAAAGTTTCTGGTTGCATCCACAAGGCCTTGATATGTGAAACCTTTTTTAGGGAAATAGTAGCTGTCCATTACATCTGGTTTTGTTTGATCCTCAAGTGCAACAAACGCTGGTTCCCGCCGCTTTATTGCCCAACAGATAGCAAGAAAAGTGATAAGAAAAACCGAGCCGATTACCATACAAGTGATTGTCAAGATCTTTTGCCTCTGCGAACCATTGACTAACCAACTTAGCTTTGAATCAGAATGTGGGACAAGTGGTTGGCAGTGGCTGCTCTGAGAGTTACACAGACGGTGGTTTCCAGCAAAGTTTGATGAATCCATCCGCTGGAACACGGCTGTGTCTGGTACTGTTCCGACCAAGTTATTGTTTGAGACATTGCAGATGAGGAGGCTCATGAGATTCCCAATTGATGCAGGGATCTCACCTGATAGCTTGTTGTCGTTGAGGTAAAGTATCTCCAACATTTGTAGATTTCCTAAACTGTCTGGAATCGTACCTGAGAGATTATTGTGACTAATGTTGAGGGAGATTTGCAGAGAGGTTAACTTTCCGAGCTCCACTGGGATGTTTTCAGACAAGAGATTGCCTCCTAGTTGTAACTCCATGAGCCGAGTTAGATCTCCAAAGCTATGAGGAATTTCTCCGGTCAATCTATTATCAGACAATCTCAAAATCTCCAAATTCACCAACTGACCAAGATCTTGTGGTATGTACCCGGAAAACCTGTTGCCACTAAGGTCAAGCCTCTGGATAGTGACACAACTCCCCAATTCTTTAGGGATGTGACCAGTGAGCTGATTGGAGGAGATGTTTAAGCCAACAATCTTTGTGAGATACCCAATCTCAGGAGGAATTTCACCAGTAAAATTGTTGTTAGCTAGACGCAGTCTTTCTAAATTCTTCAGCTTTCCCAGGTCTGCAGATATATTCCCTGATAACCAGTTTTGGTGAAGCTCTAATGCAGTAAGGTTCTGAAGATTAAATAATTCAGCGGGAAGGCTTCCTGTTAGCCAGTTATCGCCTAGCATTAGCTTTGTCAGTGACTTGCAGGTTTTCAGATCACGAGGAATGTTTCCTGTTAACTTGTTTGAACCAACACTCAGAAGTATTAGCGTCTGAAATCTGCAGAAATGGGCTGGAATTGGACCAGACAGATAATTGGCAGACATGTCAAGAACAGAAAAATTGCTATAGAAACCGATTAGAGGAGGTATCGTCCCTTCAAGCTGGTTGTCAAAAAGCTGCAAATCTACAAGGTAAGTTAGGAACTGAAGCTCTCGCGGGATAGTACCATTTAGTCTATTGATAGACAAATCTAGCTTCTCCAACAGTGTCAATTCCCCAAGCTCCCTAGGAATTGGACCTAGAAGAATGTTCTCAAAAAGATGAAGTAGTTTTAGATTCAGGATCTGACCAAACTCTTTTGGGATGAAACCTGTTAACTGATTCTCCGAAAAATCTATCTCAGCTGCATCTGTCAAGTTGCCTATTTCACGAGGTATCTCTCCGGTTAACTGGTTTGTGTAAAGGTACAGCCTTTTCATCTTTGTGAGCTTTCCAATCTCTCTTGGAATTGATCCCGTGAAGTAGTTTTCGTGCAGCGCAAGCACCTCCAGTTTGGTGATGTTTCCTACCGAAGGAGGTATCTCACCGGATAGACGGTTTTGCCAGAGTATCAGATCAGTAAGATTTTGAAGCTTCTCGAGCTGCATAGGAAGAGAACCCTCAAGAAGATTCTCTGCTAATCCAAGTACCTTTAGGCTCTCACATCCGCTGATTTCAGATGGAATCACACCCGAGAATGCATTCCGTCCTGCCCTAATGATCCGGAGCAGTCTCAATTTCCCCGTGGAAGGAGGGATTACACCGGTGAGATTGTTGCTGTAGATCACAAGCTCTTGGAGCGAACTCAAACTACCTATTTGTCTAGGGATTGTACCGAAAAGATAATTCTCGCATAGATACAGCTTCTTAAGAGTGATGATCATAGTTAGCTGAATTGGTATCACTCCATGGAACCTATTTGTGCAGAGATCAAGAACCTCTAGACTTCGACAGAGAGATAAATCTCGAGGGATTGGACCAGAGATGAAGTTGGTGGAGACATTCAATTTCCTTAAACCATAAAGCTTGCATATGAGAGGAGATAGTGTACCTGATAGATTCATTCCATTTAAATCAACAGAAGTTACCGTTCTGATGCGGGTACACTCGATTCCGGTCCAGTTGCAGGGATTTGAATCCAACTGGTTCCAGCTTGCGAGATAACCATTCGAGTCATTAAGGAAAGCTTTAAACTCCAGGAGAACTCGCCCTTCTTCGTTTAAGGATCTTACTAAGATGAAGGAGAAAGAACAGAGAATTACTATTGCCGAGAAACATATCCTCCCTCTCATTTTTACAAGTTAGCTTTGGTAAGAACACAGAGTGATCGCTGAACACATATGGAAAAAGAAAAAAAAAGGAATGGCGAAACGAAACGTCGATTTGGGCAGTCACGGAATGGTTTTGGTTAAAAGCTAAAAAGATTAGATTGAGATGGGCAAAAAAGACTGACTTTGATTGATCAAGAAAGACTATCTGCAAAACACTTTGGAAAGGTCTCTCTCTGTCTCTACAATAAGTCAACTCTGTTTTAATTCTCTTTGTCGACGACATCGTCTCTTTCTCCGACTTGGTTTACCATATTTTTGAGCTGCAAGTGGTTTCAAATCACGTGAGGGTTTGTAGTACAGATCCATTGAATAAAAATGTTGTAGTGTTTCTCTGGGTTGTCAATAGAAGAAAACAGAGGATCTTGTTTGTTGGGACGGTGAGGATTTGATGAAGACGACACGTGAAAAAGGAGGGATGATTCAGGACAATGATCTTTAAAGTGTATTGTTTGCTTTAATTTCTTTGGTGATGGGTGTGAGAGAGCGTTGGAGTCTGTGAGCTCATGATTTTTATCGTTGACCGTTAAAGAGCCACGCACACACACACACACAAGTGGAAGTCATTGCTGTCTTTTTCGCGCCCATCTTGTTGTCTGTTAATTTGCCACTAAAGCGATGCTTAACACTTTTACCCCTTTCTATTTATCAATATCTATCCATCTCTCATCTTTAATTACAAGCATATTTTCTTCAAAATTAAGAAGGCATATTCAACTAAATATTTTGAATGAGCTTTTGTAAGTTTTTAATTTATTTTGGAGATTTTGGGTGAAATTTAAGAAATTTTTTTTGATTTGAAACCTCCTCTTTTCTACGTTCTTTTTAACAGGTAAGTTGTTGAGCTTCCACATGACATATCAATGAAACATGTATAATCGATTTATAAGGCTTTGCCTGAAACCCAATAGTATACACAATAAAGTAATGAATTTATAGACATTATAAATAAGGATTTTTTCTTTTCAAGATAATATTGTTATATTTGGGTCTTTTTTTTTTTCCTACATCAATCAACCAAAATGTAGAGAAACATTTGCCATGTACAAGATGAGACCATTACAAACAATGTACCAACCAAACTGTTGTGTGACCCAAATCATACCCTGAGAGTCTGATTTTGTTGTTTGCTTGCGTTTCTTTGATGACTTTAGAAGCAAAACCTGGATCACAATTAAACTCCAGCCTCTTCAATC